AACTCACTCATCGTGAACTCTCGATAAGATATCAAGGAAGTCCCAGACTAAAAAGAAGACTTTAAATTGCTTGTAAGTTTGTAAAACTTTTGTATATAAATCATTGTTTGTAATAACTGTTATTGTAAATTGTATCGTTCTTTGTATATTAAAACATATTTGTGTTAAAAATAGGAAAACTGTGTGTATCAATCTTGTTGGCAAAGACATAAATTGGAGATATATCGGCATATATTTAACTACTAAGTTTAAATTGTCTGTTAACACAATTTCAGGCTATTTGAAATTCTAATATGCAACGTAATAGTCAGTTCTCCCGATACAGTTCCATGTGTTTGTCAGTTCTCCTGATACAGCTTCAGTGTGTTTGTCAGTTCTCCTGATTACAGCTTCCGTGTATTTGTAAGTTCTCCAGATACAGCTTTCATGTGTTTGTCAGTTCTCCTGATACATCTTCCGTGTGTTTGTCAATTCTCCTGATACAGCTTCTGATACTTGAGTATTATCTTGAAAGACAACAAATAAGTATAGTGTGTGGGGTGGGGGTGGGGTAGGGAGTTCATCAAGATGTTTAGGGTAAGACTGACCTCACCATACTTTGCAGAAGCATGTTATAAGGAATATTTTGGTATCGGACAATAGTGGGTAATAATGACCCAGACTGGATGCGATCAACGATGAGGGAAGTAGATCCAAAGATAGTATGAAACCTGACACGCCGTTCTTATAAATGCTATTAACACAAATAGTTTAGGTGTCATTGTCTAAGTTAAACCTTAAGACTTATATCACGTGCTTAATTACACTTACCTGAGTCGAGAGATACAAGTTTAATTAAGAACAGTAACGTTTAGATAATAGTGTCTGTGTCGTGTTGTCTAACATCTAAAAATAATACTACACACACCGGATCCTATAAGAATAAAACATTTACAGACTATATTCACATGAAGTTACATTTAAACTGTTGTAAACAGTTAGAATTGTCGATTTTCGTTCAAAAAAAACAGAGAAAACTTTGCGCACATAAAACATTTACAGACTATATTCTCATGAAGTGACATTTAAACTGTTGTAAACACTTAGAATTGTCGATTTTCATTCAAAAAAACAGAGAAAACTTTGCGCACATAAAACATTTACAGACTATATTCTCATGAAGTGACATTTAAACTGTTGTAAACAGTTAGAATTGTCGATTTTCATTCAAAAAAAACAGAGAAAACTTTGCGCACATAAAACATTTACAGACTATATTCACATGAAGTTACATTTAAACTGTTATAGACAGTTAGAATTGTCGATTTTCATTAAAAAAAACAGAGAAAACTTTGCGCACTTAGAAACAAGAGTTCAGAATCGGACAATTGGGGCAGAGCCCAACCCTACTTAAAATAAAAAATGTATTAATTTATAAACCAGTATCATAAGCTACAATCCATGAAACATATAAAGTTTTTCTATTACAATGAACAGCAATGTACTACTTTAAGTTACTGGTTTATCTAATATTACTTTCATACTTTGGTTCTTAATGGTGGTGAAAAATCCACTTAAAAAACGATAGATGTGAAAGCCATAGTGGAAATTATTTATTTTTATTTTGCTATGTGAAGTTGTTCTATAAAATTTAAGGTCACGATTTCATGTTACAGACGTCTTTAGCACCGACCAAAACACAGATTCTTCTTCCTCTAGTCAGAGGACATTTATCAGTGCCAAGCTCTAAGTAGTGTGGCGCCATTCCGAACCATCGACTATAGAGAGGCAACTAGCCGGTAGCAATGTACTGCTATCTTTATCAAAATATACATAAGTTATTAATAAATTAATTATTTTCTGTTTGATTACTTACTATTATTATGTATCATTTTTGTACACCAAGTTTCCAATATAAGATCGCTAACCGCCACAGGGCAAAAAAACAACAAACGAAATATAAGTTCAGACAATCATCATTAACCTGTGTTACAATTGCTCAAACTAAGCAGCTTCATCCAAGTTATTTAACAATAATATTCTTAGAATAAGTAGGAATTAATTAGAATATTTATAAAAGCATTTTTATTTAAACGAAAATACATACATATTTGGCAACTTTTTTGATGATGTGGTATATTCAGGTAAAAGTGATTTAACTTTAGGCTTTAGAGCAATAGGATATTTATTATGAAGTAGTACGAACTTTTGAGTAAGTGAGTTCGTGAAAATGATAAAAAGAGACTGGGCATAATGATATGTACAATTCAACAACATTTATAACAATACACTTTACATGAACACATTTTGTGTACTTCCTCTTATTCATGTGAAACGGATGCTTGTACTGGATCATGTAAATTCCTTTCAAACTGATCAGTCCGAGATCATCTACCAGATTGTTTAAATTCAACGTTCATTTACGTCACAAATTACATAGGATTTACCCAGAGTGAGTAATTCTAACCACGTGACTGGTCATTCTCATTCAAGCATAGGGGAGGCTGTAACCTCGAGATACTACCTGAACTACCATTGAATGACACTGCTGTCTACATTTTTGCACAATGTGCAAAATTACAGCCATTACTTCATGGGCAGAACAGGAATGACCTAAATAGAATGATAAGGAACAAAGACAGCTAGAATGACATCAATATAACGACCTTCCTGACCACATGTTATGAGAAAACTTTACATAGTTATTTATAATTTCAGAATAATACAATATAAATATAAGAAGGTAGAGACTCGTATTATGTTTATATATCACAACGATACGAAATTCATCCTCAGCTTCAACTAACTCAAGAATCTAAACTTAGTTTGTAAACATGTGGTAATTACACTTCTTCAAAATAAGTTAAAACAACTTTGCTAATTCTAGTTTACAAAATAAACACACCTGAATACGCTAAACACTATAAGGCAGACAACTAGGCTCAATATGGAACAGCTACAGCCTATAATTGAAATAATCTGCAGTGCTTTGGGCAGTTTTATATTTCCGAATATGTCGTGCACATCCATAATAACAGCAAAATTTGTTAGGTGATTGCACCGACAAGTGGTGTGAGTTTCATTATGGAGCACTACGTCACAACCAGACACATCCCAATAGCCCCTGCAATAAAGAACACAAATTGGCAATAAAGGTATAATATCTGATATATTGTACTAAGTATCCACTTAAAACAATTTATAAGCACAATGAAAGCTTATGAAATAACAATTTCTATGATAATTATTTAATAATGCTTTGAAACGGCTTGAATGGGTAATGAAGAAAAAGTTTAATATAAGCTTAACATAACAGCAAATGTACAACGTTTCGACAAGGTTTTGTTTAATGATGACAAGCATTATTAATTTCAAGGTGGGTTCTTCGTCATTGAACTTCTGTATTAACTGCTTTTTAAGTAATATTTACATTTTCAGTTTGGGGTTAGAGATCAACCCTTACATTTCGATTTTTGGTCATTCAGAAAGTGGCTCAGTTTTGGGTTAGAGATCAACCCTTACATTTTAAGTTTTGGTATTCCAGAAAGTGGCTCAGTTTGGGGTTAGAGAGCAGCCCTTACATTTCGATTTTTGGTCATCCAGAAAGTGGCTCAGTTTTGGGTTAGAGATCAACCCTTACATTTTCAGTTTTGGTATTCCAAAACGTGGCTCAGTTTGGGGTTATAGATCAATCTTTACATTTCGATTTTTTGGTCTTCCAGAAAGTGGCACAGTTTTGGGTGATAGATCAACCCTCACATTTCGATTTTTGGTCTTCCAGAAAGTGGCTCAGTTTTAGGTTATAGATCAATCTTTACATTTCGATTTTTTGGTCTTCCAGAAAGTTGCTCAGTTTTGGGTTTGAGATCAACCCTTACATTTCGATTTTTGTTCTTCCAGAAAGTGGTTCAGTTTTGGGTTAGAGACCAACCCTTACATTTCGATTTTTGGTTTTCCAGAAAGTGGCTCAGTTTTAGGTGATAGATCAACCCTTACATTTCGATTTTTTGGTCTTCCAGAAAGTGGCTCAGTTTTGGGTTTGAGATCAACCCTTACATTTCGATTTTTGGTCATCCAGAAAGTGGCTCAGTTTTAGGTGATAGATCAACCCTTACATTTCGATTTTTTGGTCTTCCAGAAAGTGGCTCAGTTTTAGGTGATAGATCAACCCTTACATTTCGATTTTTTGGTCTTCCAGAAAGTGGCTCAGTTTTGGGTTTGAGATCAACCCTTACATTTCGATTTTGGGTCATCCAGAAAGTGGCTCAGTTTTGGGTTTAAGATCAACCCTTACATTTCGATTTTTGGTCTTCCAGAAAGTGGCTCAGCTTTGGGTTGGAGATCAACTCTTACATTTTGAATGTTGATCTTCCAGGCACCTGATGATGACAAAACCTTGTCGAAACGTTGTACATTTGCTATTATGTTAAACTTGTATTAAACTTTTTCTTCATTATCCATTCAAGCCGTCTTCAAGCATTATTAGTCTCAATGTGGGTTCCTCGTCATAGAACATAATATTTTGTTAGACAAGAGTATAATAAAATTTAATACCAGTTTGTTTTTAGTATTTTACAACCTGTATATTTAGTTTTTCCAAAATTAGTGTGTAAAAACGGCTGCTAATGTTTTCCTCGTTAGATTGTGGTGAGGGTATATATATATATATGTATGTATGTGTATCCTTAGATTATGTCCCTCCTTGCTTTCACCCTGAAACAGACTTAAAGAAGCCCACCGGTGAGTCAGTGATAACTTTATGGGATTAAAACGCTAAAATTCACAATTCGGTTCCCTGCAGTGGCCACAGCAGTTAGCTCAACGTGGCTTTGCGTTAAACCAGTGGATTTGGCAGGAGTATTGCGCTTTTAATAATATAACATAATTTTATAGACTAAATACAACATTTCTTTATCTTCAACTACGATCAAGTTAATTGTTTTAATATTCTACTTAACCCTAAGACACTATGTTGTGTCCTGATAATTTTTACAACCCCAAAACTTAAATATATTTTGTTTAAACGTTTAAGATAAACTTAGTTATCTGTTTTCTTTACCTTTATACCTTCTTTATTATAAATAAATAATATGTTTTTAGATAGCAGAACTGTACTTTTTGAACAGAAACTAAAATACTCGATGGGTTATCTTCCAAAAATTTTATTTCAAAATTTTGCGCAAAACTACACAAGGGCTATATGCGTATAGCCGTCCCTAATTTTGAATTGACATGGTAAAGGGAAGGCAGCTAGTTAACAGCAGCCACTGCCAAATCATGGGTCACTTGTCATTTTTATAATCAAACCCACGGCCCCAAATTACGAAGAGGGTTTTTGAATCCTCTGATTTCTCGTCAGGAAAAATCACTACAACCAACATCCAATCCTTCTTCCAAAGCTAAACCTCTAGTTTTACTTTAATACTTCTTAGGCTCTCTACCGTTCTGAGCTTCTCAAACCTAATAATACTTTTCAGATAAAACGTCATATATTTTTCACCCCATAATAGAAGGGGAATAGTTTAGCTTTACCATAATTACCTTTAAAAATCAAGGAAAGAACGATTGATTAACTAAACAAAACTACGAAAACTTTAGATCAATTACCCTATATCGCTAAAACGGCCCCCTCAGCCTGACAGGTGTAATCAGGCTAACCGCGGCTCTCCAAGCAGCAGGTTTGATAGAAAGCAGCTATGTTGCTGTTTGCTACTCAAAAGCTAATAATTGTTTGTTTATTTTATAGGAAAATCATATTGAGCTATCTACTGTTTCCACTGCTAGGAATCGAACCCAGGATTCTAATATTGTAAGTTCTTACACTTACTGCTGTCTCAACGAGGGACGAAAAGCTAGCAAAGTGAGTGATATCATTCCTAATTTTGGTTTATGTGTTTTATAGCGTACTAACTACCGATTGCAATACGTTTTCTTTGTTATAAATCAAGTACATTACTGTGTTTCCTCTCAGTATTTGTTACATATCTCAGATTTTCTCACTTTACTTTCCCTGCAGCTCAAAACGTCATCGAAAATTGTTCATCAAGAAACAACATGATAATTAAATTTTAACATCAGAAAGTAAGCGTTATCACTAGTTACAGGAAACATCACTCTCACAATATCCTACCATCATTGGCATTTCATGCTTGTAAGGAGTGTAAACAAAACAGACAAACGTAAAGCAGAAATATTTCACAAATATTTTGTTGCCCTTGTGACTCTTGATGAAGATAAGGTAACACCATGCCCTAAAACACCTATTTTTTAGAATTTTGATAGCTACCCTGATAAGAAACGTAATCGTAAAATTTAAAGTTAAAGCATTTGAATGTGCACTATACACGGTAATTATCAGCATTTTATCGTATTAAAAAGTTATTATTAAATGTGATCAGATGAAATAACTTGATAATTCACACAGGTCCACAATTCAGAATATCGAGATAGATATAAGAATGCTTACTCTCTGTTTAACGACCAAAATACACATGAAGGCTTCTTTGAAGGGCTGTTTAAATGTTGCAACGTGATGTTAACGCCGTCCGAGAATGTTAGGTTACGTCCGTCGTTATTCAGGTTAGTCCCTACGACTGGAGTGTTAAGCCTTGTTTTGCTGCTAATGTTCCTGGGAAGTTTGCAAGAGCTATTAAAAAGAAATTATAACTTTATTCATAAACGATAACGTAAATTGGGACTATTTATGCTAAAGACGTGATTGAACATTTCAAAAAGAGCATCAACAACATTGAACGATTCGTGTTTAATTAGTTAAAAATGCGACTTCAGCAAAAAGGACTACATTCATAGCATTTCAAGAAAACTTTTTCTATTGTAGTCCACAGAAAACGAGGTCTTCAACACAAGAAGAGGACTAATCAGATTAAACGGATCTCAAAATCCAGGCTCAGTAGAAGCACTATAGTGTTCCCATAAAAAAAACAAAAACATCTAATTTTAAGAGATTTACGTAATGCAAATAGTCTGGGCTTGAGATTAGGTTGTGTCAGACAATATAATTTCTAAAATCTGGCTCACCCTTTGTTATCTCTGAGCTATTGCTTAACTTTCTCACAAGGTAATACTTTCAAAATCAACCAGAACAAAGATTGTGCAATTAGAATCAATACTAGGAGCAGAGATAACAAAATACTGCCGTTTCGCGTATTGAACTTTAACTTGTTATTTTACGTTAAACTGTACTGTATCTTGAAAAGCCGTGGTTACTATTGAAACTCTTACATATGTTAGTTTTGAAGAACGGAATTGTATACAGCACACATTCACTTGTTCTGTTCCTTTGAAAAATTGTATTTTATATCTTAAGCCTTCTCACCCAATGAATAGAATAGAACAAAAATTTATGACATTACTCATTGTAACGAATTTGATATTATATATTTATTTTAATATCAGCGTTGTTTAGATTAAGTTTATATTTAAAAACATGCGTAGCTTGTAGTGTTAAATATGTGTTGCAAAACTCCCGCCTATTCTCCAAAGTTGTATAAGATTCTCGAGAGTAAGAATCAACAATATATGTATATACGTGAACGTTTAAGTGTAACTCAGCATTGTTATGTAATCTGAATTTTCTAGAAACCTTTCTACGCCTATAAATACAACCAACGCGACGCAACCAAAAGAG